TATATACAGCACATACATAAGCATATATATGTACATATGTATACGTATATATATATATATATATATATATATATATATATATATTCTTATGCCGTGTGCCTTCATTAACGCAAGTCTTGTTATATCCAAGACCAAAAGTGCATTTAATCAGTTTCTTAATTTCTTGCCGGTTTGCTCGATTGTTTTAATAAAATCCTTCGTTATTTCGGCAACTTATAACTCATTTCACCTATGGTCATTTATGTGGGTCTAAGGTAGCTAACTGTTCAAAAATAGTCGTTTCTCATTCTCAAAGCAATGCAAGTCGGGCGGAAAATATTCCAATATGGTAAAATGTGAGGCATGCTCTATGTGACATAACCAAAGGCGAACCTTCAGTTATAGATTATGCATCCGAACATCAGGCCAAATTACAAAAGGCATTCAAACGCACGCACATCACTTTCCCAAGCAGTTTGACACCATGGCAAGTTCAAGGCACCGAATCACCCTGCCGTTGCTGGGTGACTAAACAGGTCCAAAGTGATGCGTGTCCCAAGCTGTTTGTTTAAGTCAGGCAGCCTTCCTGTATTGAGGATGGCTTCGAGAACTTACAAACGACATTTGTTTGGTCATGATTTTGGAACCAGTGTGTTTTCATCTAAGTCAGAGTATAGAAATTATTTTATTGTGAGTTTTGCCCATATGCTTGCTGGCGCTCCCCCCTGCAGGTGCACAGTTATGCACCGTGATAGAGATGTGGTGATTCCAGTATAGGTCGAGTTGCGGAGCCGGCAGCCTCCGTAGGGACTCTTTCTTCTTATTCCAAGGCACCTCTAGCTTCCTTTGCCGTGCCGAAGCGGAACGACTTGCTGCATTTCGTATTTTGAATTTGCAAATCAGTCAAATATGTGGGTGCGTATCAGTGGCAAACTCACTTGACTCACACTTCAGTATTACCGTCATCGTTTGCGATGGTTCGATTGAGGACATACTCAACTGTTATTGTTGCTCTTTCACAGATGTTTGGTCACTGGCGACGGATCTCGCGTTAGCTAATATCTAATGTAATTTGTCATGTCAGTTTGTTTGTCAGTCAAAACTGTCCACATTGGGCTTCAGTTTTAGCGTGTCCCCTCTCTCCCAAAAAACACACACGCTGAACTTCCTGGCCAGAACTGTGAGTGGGGCGTGGCACTGGGAACACAGCTCGCCAGCGTTACAAGCGCTTCGCTGGCAGGGTTGCCATTTTTGTACATTATTGGGGGACAGAACCGAAGGTTCGGCAACCTACACCCGCCCTTTTTTCTCACCGGACTTAGTCCAATTTATTTTGATGAAGCGCAATATACGCTTTTAATCTTTGTATAATTTACAGCAGTCTTTAATTTAAGCAGTATAGAAGTCATGCAGGGTTGGATCCAGCGAACAAATACTGAGCGTATGCGTCTTTTCCGATCGGCACGTGAAGGCGCCCCTTTAGAGTCTTCCTTAGGGTACCGATGGCGCTCTTCTATGACGATCAAGGGAGGCGGCACGCATTTTGGTTGTCGGGGACGGGGACGGGGTTGGCCACTGAAGGACTTGGTCATCCCCATATTCCAGAGCTTTTCGCTTTAACCTCACAGACCATTGCGTGTCTTATGGCACTAGGTATGTGAAGTTTAGTGCATCGTTATCCGCTCAGCTGTTATGATTTTTATCTTGTGGTGAGAGCAGCCACGACTTTTTATGAGAGTGGTACGGGACGCCACTACGCAAGGAAGAATCAAAGAAGATAGTTTTCGTGTTATGGTCATCTTCTGCCCACTTTTTTGTAGCATTCCAGCCAAAGACATTGGGGGCCAAGCCAACACTGGGGGGGGGGGGGGCAGCTCAACATTAGGGGGGCGGGGCCCTCACAAAAGAATACAAATCGATACCAGTGTTCGTTGGGCAAGGGTGTGGAAGATGGTGCGCCGCCACGACTGTGTGCAGGTGCAGAAAGCCTTTTTAGCGGCCAGTGTCCCATACCAATATCGGACATGTTTGTTTGTCGCGGCCATGTGTCGTCGCGCGGGACCTGTGGTCACTTGCGGCGCGACACTCCTGGAACGCCAGGCTGGTGCGGCGTCACGAAATGAAGGTTTGGGGTTCCTTCACCAACAGGACAAATCCAGAATTTTGTTGGGGTGGGCGGTAAAGCAATTGTGGCGCCCTTGCATTTTAGCTCACCTTTAACTAGTTGGCTTTGGGCCCTCCAGATGGCCTACTTTGATTTGGTGTCTATGGTAAGGAAAGTTTGCGGTGCCCAGATATCTTTCAACCAGAAATCAGAAAGAAAGAAAGCCTTGGTACCCCCTCTCCCCGGGGGCCGATCCGGAATTTGGTCAGAGTAGGAGACGCAACATTTTTGTGACCCTGGAATTCGGTGCCCCGTTGAGAATGAAGGTTTCGTATCATCAGGAATTGAATACCTCCGGCCTGAAATGAAGGTTTTGGAGCCCGGTCAACATGACATTTTGGTGCGTGCTAGAGGCACCAAAACCTTGTGGAGCCCCAAGGGAGGGTCATGGCTCTATGCCCTTCCGCTCCGCTCTGGATCTGTTCGTGAAGATAATTATATACTGGCTTTGTGCAGTATATCTAATATCGCAAAATGATTGCTAATACAGGGAGATGAAAAGTGGAACCGGCCACAAAAACAATGAATATTCACCGCTCAGCTGGTCGTCCCCGTCTTGACGCTTCTCAGTTTGGTGCGAATCCCTGGACTGTTTCGCGCCCGCTTCGCTGATCCTCAAGCCACAATACGCTCAAACTCGGCGGAAGTCTGGAGCATGAAATAAAGGACACAAGCTTTCAAAACCATGGTCAAGATGTTAGTTCCAACAACAAGAATCACGAAAAAAATTTGGGCCGAGGAAGATTGAGCACACCATCTGCTATCTCGCTTGTAAGGCAGGGGATGGCAATGCACGAAACCTCGCGTAAAGAACATCTCTATTTGACCTGAAAGTGTATTTTGTACTGAAAAGAACTTGTCAGTTGGTGCTGAGAAAACAAACACATTATACAAACATTGAACCCTGTCGTAAATTCGATGTACTTCTTATTTTTACCACACAGGGGTTCAACCAGGAGGGGGGGGGGGGGGCCGTTCTCCGTCTCAGCCAGGATTTTTATTATTTTCACCACACATGACAGAAGGCTCCCGAAAAATATAAAAATCCCCGGAATAAGTTCTCATCGAGCTTTGGGCCTCCTCCCTTAACAAAATAATGGCTGCTACCCTGCTCCCAAAGGTAGTGGTATGAATGGGCGTAAATGAGTTGACCATTAAATTATGGAAACAGCTCCCCCACACATATCCACCAGGTCCACCTCTGCTCCGAGTAGAGAAACTGGCTCTACCACTTGAGCCATGATCGGAGCAGCTCCTGGGCATCACTTGGGTCCTGATCGGAGCAGCTCCGGGCATCACTTGGGTCCTGGTCGGAGCAGCTCCGGGCATCATTTGGGTCTTGATCGGAGCAGCTCCAGGCATCACTTTGGTCTTGATCGGGGCAGCTCCGGGCATCACTTGGGTCTTGATCGGAGTAGCTCCGGGCACCACTTGGGTCTTGATCGGAGCAGCTCTGGGCATCCCCTCGAGCAGTGGGCCACGTCTCTCAGACTGGGTAAACCATATCAGCTGACTCCCTCCGATTTTGCAGAGACACTTCGGCAATCAGCCCACCAGTCTAGTGTGTCACGTTTGCTTAACATTAGAAGAAGTGCACATCACGGTTGAAGCACGGGAAACATTCACTTACCACTAAATGCCTCCGACGCCTCCCCCTCTCCCCCCCCCCCCCCCCCCGAAGCCGGCGGCCATAAGCCGCACACATTGGCGGAAATGCGGGCTGTTCGAGAATATTCACGCACAACATTTAATATATACCTACCAAGGCTCAATTTACGATGTTTTCATGAAAGAGAAAAAGAGTAGTATTATCTATAGAAGGCGGTAGGGATTGGCTTCAAAGAGTAAAATTTAAGTTCAATTACATTGTTATTTGACACTTGCAAAGAGCTCAAAACGGTATTTTTCACCTTTTATTTTATTTCTATTCATTGTTTTATTCTTTATCTTTATTATATTCACATTACATTTTTGGTATACCTCATTCATTTTATATAGTGTTTATCTTTTACTTTTCATCAAGCACTGAAGGAAAACAAAATCATTTTGCGGTCTACTTCAGGAAGAACGGACAGTGCTTCGTAGTGCTAACTGAAAACGTTGTAATACAGGCTTCTTGAGGAAGTTGACTTTTCCTAAGCTTCTTGAATCGTCACACGAGCTTCCGCGAGACAAAATAATCAACTGCATGGTCGGGCTAAACGAACTCCCTCACAGCGGGTAAAACGACTGGATTACAGCGTTATCATTCAATCACGAACACACCATAAAGTGCATACATTTATGTGTAAATGTCGCTGATATCGGTATGCTGAGAACTTTGAGAGAATCGCGAAGAGTCCTATGGTGTTCACGGCGGCATGTTGAGAACTTTTTGAAATTAGCGGAGAGTCTTAAAGTTTCCGCGAGAGGGTCGTCCCTGCTCATGGTGCTGTGAAGTGACACACTGCCGTCAGATGAGGCCATGTAGCAAGGTGTCTCGTCGTGGAGACCATGCAACATCCTCCCAAGAGGACCTACAGTGTAAGTTTTGGAATGCAACTATCCGTGCAGTATCTGCTAGGAAAATATCGAAGATCCATGCGATCGCCAATAGTTTGTGTTTCTCCACAGTTTATAATTACGTGCCGGCTACTTTGCATGCGATTGGGAATATACTCTTAAATGTCACGTCATACGCCGGGAATATCGATTTTTCGTATAACATTGGAGAAATGTATTCGTTTCTGTTGGCAAATCACGCCAAGGCAAAATTAACTCCCGTTTTCGAATGTGCCAGTTCGCATATTCTTCTCTTGCATTCGAGAGCGTATTTGGCTTATTAGATGGCTCAAGGTATATATCGTTACACAGTGCCACGGGTTTTCAGTTGTATTTACGCTGTCTAAAGCAATCGTCCGGGTTTACAAAATTAGGCCCCGAAGCTTGCCGTCATCTACTGCGGCAGTAGTTCAAACGCTGCCGCCAGGGGCGTTGGTGTCACGCTGGCCACGGCCGCCCCCTAACGAGTTCAGGCAACGATCATCACCGGAGTCACCGCCTGCGCGCTACTTGCTCGTCATCAGCGGCCCCAGTATGTCCATCGGCAGGGGAAAAACGATAGTGGAATTCTTCTCGGCCGAGATGGTGTTCAGTGTCTGCAGGTACCGCAGCTGCAGCGCAGCTGGACTCTCATTGATGACGTCAGCCGCCTCCTTCAGAGAGCGCGAGGCGCGCATCTCGCCCTCGGCGGCGATCACCTTGGCCTTGGCCTCGCGACTGGCCTCGGCCTCTGCTGCCATGGCGCGCTGCAGCTGCATCGGCAGGCGCACGTCCTTGATCTCCACCCGCTCCACCCTGACGCCCCACGGATCGGTAGCGTCGTCCAGGGTCTCCTGCATGTGCAGCGAGATCTCTTCGCGCTCGCACAAGATCTCGGCCAGTGTGCGCGTGCCGAGTGCGTTACGCAGCGTGGTGGCGGCCAGCAGCTGCGTGTTGCGCGAGTAGTTCTCCACATTGGTAACGGACACGGCCGGGTTGGAGACGCGGTAGTAGACGACGGCGTCCACGGCCACGGTGACCGAGTCCTTGGTGAGGATCTCCTGCGGCGGCACGTCGAACGACACGCTGCGCAGGTCCACCTTGGCGTACGTGTCAATGCAGGGCAGCACGAAGAACCAGCCGGGGCCGACGGCGCCGCCGCTCCGCAGCCGGCCCAGCCGGAAGATCACCGCCCGCTCGTACTCCTGCACGATCTTGATGCACATCCACACGGTCAGCGGCGACGTGACGATGAACAGCAGGTACGAGAGGCCGATGATCAGAGCCGAGAAACAGTCGAGGGATGAGTCGGCGGTGTTGCTGCCCATGACCACCTCCGACTGGGGCCGACGGCGGCGCGAGCTGCCCTCCTCCATCTCTCTCGGCTCGGCGTACTCCAGTTCCTTGTGTGCCATGGTTAGCGGCGTCGGCTCGACACTAGCCGACTCACACCAGGTGCTGGCGTTTTATCGTGCCGCCGCTATCTGGCCAGCGCCGGTGAGGGCTGGCGCGGCTGCTCCGATAGCGGTGGCCGACGCAGCCGTTATCGGTGCGGTCGCGCACTCGTTCTGCTCACGCAGCGACCGGGCCCCGTCGCGTGACCCGCTGCGCAGTTCTGATAACGGCAGCTGCCAGCCAACGACAACGACAGCAGCCGATTCCGAAAACGGCAGCTGTCGGCTGAAGGCCTTTGGTCAAAACTTCAAACATTCTTCACCAACCATAAATGCAGCACGATAAACCATTTAAAAGACGGCCTCGTAACTTTCTTGCTGACTTCTGGCCTGTGCTGTCTGCCGTTTAATTTTCGCGGTCGTCGGATAGGCCAGTACGAAAAGGCCAGTGTTGTTTCTCTGCCAGGCCGTTCTCCGCGCTTGATACTGTGGTTGTAGGGCGTGATGAGTATGTGGCAGTACACTGCAGGGCGTGTAGTACTTAAGTCGGTGCGTGGCGCCAATGGCAGTGGTCTCACCCGTACAAAGAAGGCTGCACATTTCGCAACGAGCGCAACACAAATGATCAACTTTGTCTGCAGTCGTCGCTGATTAATAGCTCGTGCCAAACATAACATTGTCGACATATATGATTTCTATAAATGCACATTTGTGATTGACTGTATGTCGACGTACAGCCAAAGATAAGCACTGAGCGACCAAAACTGTTCTGCACCAATCTGTTGCAGAATTTCTACAGTACGTCACACATTAGAGCCATGTTTGTGTCGGAGGACGTAGACATGTAGTTACTGGATATTTTCAGAAGTTACTCGACTCAGGTGAAAGAAGATAGCCTGAATCGCATTTTTGAGCCCTTCATGATTCATCCACGGACTGCATTGATTCAAACCACAGTCGTTGGAACGAACAAAAAAAAAGATCAAATAACGTATGGTCTAGGGTTTTTACTCACGTCGACATTGGCCGGGACAAACAACAAATATGACTTGTTTCCATAATACACAAATTTTCCGTTCCTATGTTGGCGAATTTGAGTGTTCTAAAGCGCAACGATCTCATAAATAGACGCTTAAGACGCGCTGGAGACTACCAGCAGTTAGTTTCTCAAAGCAAAAGTACAATATTACGTCAAGTATTAAGGTGTACTTGCGATTTTACAGACTATGATATATGCGCTAGTTCCTCCTGTGCTCCAGTTGGAGTGTGTGCAGATTGCCACGAGGCTGAACTGAATGGTCGCCTCATAGATTAATGTCATGCATTTACGTGCGTGTTATGTTCCCAAACTCTTTGAAAAGTGTATATATACATACCTATATATATATATATATATATATATATATATATATATATATATATAGAAATAGCCTTATTCCTCGGGTAAAATAGGAGAATAGAGATATAGTTAGGTTAGACCTAACTATACGTACCTATATGGAACCTAACCATATCTTCATTCTCCTGGTTTTTCTCCCAAGAATAAGGCTATTACCACTGTCTTATATACGTTGGTAAATTTCGTACCATGACTCGTGCGTTTCTAATGCCATTTCTCGCTCAGTGTTTGTCGAATATTGGCAAAACACTGCTGGAAATGAGTGAATCAATGGCAACATCAGTAAAAAAGTAGCAACATTCGTTTACATTTGCGTATAAGACACTGTCGCCAGCCCCATCGCATCCTGCTGAGCGGAAGACGTTTTGCCGCTCTGGCCCGGACAGTTTCCCCAGGTCAAGATAGCATTAAATTGCGTTGTTTATCAAACCCGACGTCTGTTGCCAGCCGACCGCGTGTTGGCGTTAACCAAACGCGATGCTAAAGACCCCAGCAGAAAAACGAACTTCAGTGTCACATTATGCTACAACAGACTTCAGGGCGCAGGCATAATTTCCTTAAGAGGAGAAAGGGTTAAGGCTGTCTAACACGGATGACATTCGATATCTGGTTTCTTTCGCATAGATTGTACGCAAATTTATCAAGGCCCAGCAGCTGACTGGTGGTGGACCCCTGCCCTGTGTCAGGAATCTCAGTATAATCAGGTGCATATTATTTCAAGGATTCCTTAATTTTATTTCGTAAGAAGTCGATATTCATGGTATATATAGTTGATATTGTCATCAGCGACAACTGCTGGATGTCGATTTATTTTTACACACCTTAGGCAAAAGCATACTCGATTTCTTACCATTTCTTGTGTGTTTCTAATGCCGCGTCCTGCTGAGTAGATTTTGAATATTACATTGAATTAGACCAGCCTTACAATAATAAGATACGTTTAGGTCGCTTTGTCAAATGTAATTTGAGTGTGTTTTCTGTCGTATCCAAGTGTGTGTCGCAACACGCAAGAACAAAACATAAAATGGGCATCAGAGACTAGCCAATGTTACTGTTGACAGCGCCTATGTATTGCTATTTCCCAAAAGTCACATGAAATGTTAGACCCATCTCAGAGTTGTGCCAAATATTGCCAAAACGCTTCTGAGAATTCCTAAATCAATGACGGCACCAATAAAGCAGTCTTTTTAAGGAACCATATGGGTATGGGCTATTTGTCATACGGATATAACATGTGACACGGATATCAAACACAACAACGAAGTCTTGAAAACTGACACCTCTCAACCTCACCCACTGTATTCTTGGGCATACTGTATACCCACTAGCTGGGCAGATGCATAATGCACGAATTTCCACACAACATTTCATGTGGACAACCATGCTGGCTGGGCAGTTTACTTTGAACAGTAGTAAAGCGATCACTTAAACGACCCAGATCCCGTGGTTAATAATTTCGCGCATCGGTTCATGAAGCGGGACCGATTCATCCTGCTTCTGTCGCAAACCAAGTAAACCAATTTTGAACCTTATGCATCCAAGCAGTCAATGGAGCAGGATCCAAATCCGGCAACCGGTCGTTAACAATTTCAAATCGTTCCTTTTTTCAAATGTCTCACAAGTCAACTCAAAATCGATCCTTGAATAGGATTTGATTTCGGTTCAGTCAGGCACAGGTCCGCTGCCAACGGCCGATAGATAGATAGATAGATAGATAGATAGATAGATATATATATATATGCATATATATGTATATATAGATAGATAGATATATATATATATATATATATATATATATATATATATATATATATATAGCACGTATCATGTACGGTTTCTTTTTACATAGAATTTAGCAAGATGCTGCTTTACGTGCTATCGCAATGAGCTGCCACGCTCCCTCATTTATGGCACATTTGGCATTACCGCTGTTGGAAAACAGCTGTTAAAAATCAATTTTAATTCTCCAGGATTACAACTTTTCCAAGCGTCGTGGATCCGTATTTAAGTTTTTTTTTTTATGAAGCCGCGGTCCTCCAAAGTTTCTGTACAGATAACGAAAGGACCTCCTGGGATCTCAGCCTTTCCTGATTTATTTGTTTTGACAGGGAAATCTCCTTAGAATCTAAGACTTATTTCATATTATTCCAATGCTTCTTTCAGAGCATAAAATTGCTCTTTATGTCAGCCGAATGATTTATGGGGATGCGGGCTCATTTTTTGCCTATGCCTATGTCTGCTGCAAACTCTACGTTTTGCCATGCACTGGTTGTTTTTGTGCGTAATCAGCACCGATAAGTGTTATATCAACAGAAAATACATAAATGTGTGTAAAATGATGCCATGCTAGCTTGCCGACATTACATGAAATAGGAACAGTCGGTGGCTCTCAGCCCGAGCTGATGACTGGTTGACAAACGCACGGCTTTCACCGTGGCCATTTCTCATGCATCTATGAAAGGAGCATGCTCAAGCATAAATCTCTGTGGCTAGAGGATCAGAAGTCCAACTTCCGGAACGAAGGTGTAGTTTTTATTTCAGGTT